CATTTGACCTTTCAGTCTTTGTGTCATCAATAGCTGCAATCTTCCTGAGGATGTAGCATTAGTAGGAAAAGCTCCAGGAGTCTGCACTTACCCTTTCCTTCCATAGGCCCTAGGTCTAATGGATCAGAGAGTTCATGTGGGGATTCTGTCCGTTGTCAAATATGTCTATTCCAATGATCATTCAGGAACTGGATCAGTGGACCGAGGGGTCTGCTGTGCATCATACTTGAGCTAAGATTCTATGTGTAATTAAACACCACAGGTCCTCATTTTCACTGGTGGGCTGTCATGGTGTTTTAGGGTCCTAGAAACTGGGTGTCACTTCAGAGTCAGTGTCCAGTAACCTCCAATAGTTCTAGGCAGTTCCTTTTTCTCCAATGTGCAATTTTTCTAGGAAATGGCTGCACTTACATTAAAAGTTGGAGGACATTTTTCTCTATGACGGGACTTCAAAAAGGTCATTACAGAATGGAATTAAAGTATGAGTTTATTTTGGTGCAAAAGAGTTTTGAAATCCATGCATAGTGTCTGCATAATACGAATTTTCTCTGAAGTTTCTGAAGACCTCTTGTATACACTTGTGCCAATAATGCAAGGTCTTTCCTCAGGGAGATCTGGCCTCCCCTTCAATAAAGAAGTCTGGGCTATGATATAACTTACGCCTGGAAATGAGGTCAGAGACCATGTCTATCCATGCTGGCACTCAGGTCGTGTTTGGCTACTAGGCCTACAGTTTTCTTCTTCTGTTAGATCACTCTCTAGTAGGCTGACAGTCTATTTCATTCCTAGGAACACCATGGCCACGGGATTCGGATTGCTGGTTTGTGTCTGCTGCTCTGGAAGGCTGATGTGCCCACGTTTGACAAGTAAGTGCTACCCTTGGCCTCATTATCTTTACTAAAATCGGGGAGCCCAGTTCAATGGTGGCATTCTTCATGGTCATTCCTGGCCTTCAAGAAAGAGCTTTTCAGGACCAGAAGTTGGTGTAACGGCTGTGTTGCTGAACTCCCATGTAGTTGACTGTGGTTCGAGTTCTGGACCTGGTGGCTTAAACTCATGCTGGGCGCATGTGCATGCATGCCCAAGATCCCGAGAGGAGAATGGAGGAGAAGGGACTGCAGCGTGGCCATCTCCCCGGGGGTGATTTCTCGCTTTCTGTCTCTGTCTTTTTGGTGAGTTCACGTGCCCGATAGCAAAAACTTCTCAAAAGCTTTTCACTGGTTTTTCTCAAATCTAGAGTCTAGGGTCTAGTGGCAAGGGAGCAGAAGAACGAAGAGCCAATGAGTTGCGGTGGGTCTTGGGGAAACTGGGTCTTCTTTGTCAAGCCATCTGCCCCAGGTGAGAATTTCAGTTTTTTTTTTTTTTTTTAATAATAGAGGTTTTGGTATAGGGCGCGTGCGCTCATCAGAAAGATAGAGTGAGACAGAGAGACAGAAAGCAAGAAACCACCCCCTGGGGGGGGGACGGTGGCCACGCGCCACCCTTCTCCTCCATTCTCCTCTCGGGATCTTGGGCATGCCTGCACACGCACCTGGCATGAGTTTAAGCCACCGGGTCCAGGACTTGAACCGCGGTTGACTACGTGGGAGTCCAGCGACATAGCCATTATGCTAACTGCTGGTCCCGCAGAATTTCACAGGGTTTTCAAGCAAAGAATGACATGTCTCCACAGACAAGACAAGCTACTTTAACTGGCAAAGAAAGTTCAGAGTGGCTTGTGTTTTCAGGATTGTCAGTTAATCCAAGCAGGGTCTGTATTTCAAGTTTTGAAATTCCATTCCTTCCCAGTATGACAGATGCCCTATCTTCTACTGGAGAAACATAGCAATGCTGTAAATTCAGCTAAAATTCTAATGCAGTCCACAGGGATTGTCAAACACTGGTTGTCACTGTGTACTAAAGAGCCAGTGGGGGGGCCAGCAGGTGGCGTGGTGGTTAAGGGTGCTAGACTCTCACGTGGCCAACCATGGTTCGAGTCCCGAATCTGGCGGCTTGCTTTCTCACTCTGCCCCCTACCACTCAGTCCCTCTCTGGTCAAATTAAAATAAAAATAAAGTTAAATAAAAAATAATTTTTTTTTCTTTCTTTTTCTTTTTATTTTTTGGAGAGGTTTTTGCTATAGGGCACGTGTGCTCACCAGAAAGACAGAGAGAGACAGAGAGACAGAAAGCGAGAAATCACCCCCTGAGGGGGATGGCCATGCCGCAATCCCTTCTCTTCCATTCTCCTCTCAGGATCTTGGGCATGCACGCACACGCACCCAGCATGAGTTTAAGCCACAGGGTCTGGGACTCGAACTGCGGTCAACTATATGGGAGTCCAGCGACATAGCCATTATGCTAATTGCTGGCTCCGATAAAAAATAATTCTTAAAGGAAAAAAAAAATAGAGCCAGTGGAGAGATGCCAACTAGAACCTGGAAGAGCCCCTTCCAGGTCAGCTGGTGACATGGTGGTTAACGTGGCTGGATTCCAGGTGGTTGACTACAGGGTTCAAGTCCTGGACTGGGCAGCTTGAGGAACGTGCCTGGTGTGTGTGCATAGGTGTAAAAAAATCCCAGAGAGGAGAATGGAGAAGGGATTGTGGTATGGCCACTTCTTCTTGCGGGAGGTGATTTCTCACTTTCTCTCACTGTCTTGCTCTGCCACACACAGGCACCTTATAGCAAAAACTAAAGGAAAAGAAAAAAAGGAAAAAAAAAAAACCCTCTTCTCTAACGTTCTTCCAGCACCCTCTACTGATAAAGCTTAACATAAGGCCAAATGGCAAGGTCCCACCATTGCAAGCCAGTGAGTGACAGGTAAGGTGGAGCTGAGAATCAATGTGTTGACAACTGGCAACAATGTACCACATCTTCTTTCCCTTTCCCATAGTCTCTACCACCACCCCTGATAAAAATACAAAGATGACAAATAGCCACGAGGAAACCAAGACCCAAATGAGAACATCTTTCAAATACTGTCTACTCCACTGTCTAGAGTGACCAACCATTTCAGTTTGCCCAGGATTGTCCTGGATTTAGCGTTTAAACGTCTGTGACCTAGGGGACCAGCAGTTGGCATAATGGCTATGTTGCTGGACTCCCATGTAGTTGACTGTGGTTTGAGTCCCGGACCCGGTGGCTTAAACTCATGCCGGGCATGTGTGTGTTTATGTGTCCAAGATCCGGAGAGAAGAATGGAGGAGAAGGGACTGCAGTGTGGCCATCCTTCCTGGGAGGTGATTTCTCACTTTCTGTCTCAAGCGCATGCGCCCTATAGCAAAAATCTCTTAAAAAATAAAAAAAAGAAAAGTCTGTGACCTAGGAAACCCCATAGTCCTGGGTGAACCAGAATGCTTTGTGTCCCAGAAGTTCTCAAACTGTGTCTCAGAATCATCTTGTATATTTGTTTAAAAATGCAGATGGTTCTGTTAACAAAAGCAGTGTGAGGTCACCTGATGGCATGGCAGTTAAGGAGGCTGGACCCTACATGGACAATGGGACAAGTCCCCAAACCAGCAGCTTGAAAAACATGATGGGGATGTGTACATCAACGCCTAAAATCCTAAAAGGAGGAAAGAATAGAGGAGAAGAGATTACAGCCTGACCATCCCCCATGGGTGGGTGCTTTATTCCTTTTCCTTTCTCTTTCTCTGTTTCACTCTGGCAGGAACATGTCTTTGGGCAAATTGAAAAAAAAAATGCAGTGATTTCAGATGAAAGAGAGCCATGGACTGATTTTTGAGAAACGTTCTGCTTGGCCGCTGTAGAGGTGTTAATCACCACCTTTAAGGACTCTTCAATCCAGACTTATTTGTTCTTTTTGAAAACTATAATTGAAAAGAAAGAAATGACATCCTTTAGAAGATACACCCAAGGTTCCCTAAGCCAGAAGTAGGCACTGACAAATTACTAGATGATGGGAGGAAAAAAAAGAGAGAAGTTAAAGTCTGGTCTTACCACTCTCTCTCCTTTCTCTTCTAGGCTAAGTCATTTCTCCTTCAATGTCTCAAAGCATGACAAAGAAGAGTGGATGCTGTGGAAATTGAATTTGATAGTAGTAATAATATAGCTACATTGATGGGATACATTGAATTTCCTGCAGTAAGCACCATAATCCCAGGCTTATTTTAAAGATTTCCACAGTGAGTGTGCTTTGATAGACCTTACACAATAATGGCACAGAATAGTTAATTCAGTGCTAGTTTTGCCGTTTTTATATTGTGAGGTACAAGGTTTAACGTGGTCACTTTAAATAAGTTTCTCAAGAGCTGCTACGGGGTGAAGAGTAGATACTCTTAATGCTACATTTAGTGAGTTTCTATTGTGTTCCAGGCATTGTGTTACATTTCAATACATTATCTCACTTATTACCCCTCGCCATTAAGGAGCTATGTGCATTTACAAACAGCCGAGTATTTGCCCTAGGTGACACACCTAGGAAATAGTGGCATACGGACTAATATTGAAGCCTTTTCACTCAAGCAAAATTGGTTCAGCACCGGAGAGTCAAGGCAAATGGAAAAGCAGATGCCCTTTTCTAAGGGCTTTGACCAAAGTAAGCACGGCTGCGAAGGGACACAAAGAAGGCGCATCTTCAGCTCTCGGATAAGATGCAAACCCTGCTCAGCACACCACGACCTGGTCCACCAAGCCCCTCGCTCGTTCCCAAGCTCCTCTGGGATCCAGTCGTTCTTCTCCACGGACCGAGGATGCCGTCACTCGGACTTCTGCAGTCCCAGGGGCGGGATCTCGGCCTAGGAGGCAAGTCTTCTTCCCCGCCTCCTGCCTGCCGGCCCCTCACATGGCTCCACTGCACCCTCAATCCGTGTCCTAACCTCCCAGCGCCGTCCACGCACCGACACCTGCCAAGTCAGCCCTCCCGGCGCCGGGGATGAGGGGCTGCCCGGACGCCAGGTGGTGCACCGGAAGCGGCGGCGGCAGCGGCGCGTGACGTCAGGAGGAAGTGCCTGTCTCGGCGGCCTGTGGTTGGACGTTGCTGGAGTCGGTGCTTCAGTCTTAAGGGTCCCCGGGCCACTGGCGGCAGGGCGGGTCCGAGGCGGCGGGGGTCGCTACCGGGCAGAGGGACTGAGCGCCTGGCTCCGCCAGAAGGTGCGTTCTCCCGACTTGCCGCCGAGGGCCACCACCGAGGTCCCTTCCCGGGCGACCTCCAGGGCCTCATCCTGGAGGAGAAGGGTCTGAGTGGGGGAAAAGAGCTGACCCTTGTCCGGGACGAGGCTTCGTCCTCTGAGAGGCTCCCTTGTTCCATACCTAAGCCGTGTGGCAGGTGTCCTGAGTCCCCTGTTCGCTGAGGAAGAAGCTGGACTCGGAAAGGTGAAAGCATTTGCTGCACGTCCGACAGCTGGGAAGCGACGGGTCTGGATTCAAAGCGAATTCTGGCTAGTGCCAGAGTCTTTGTTCTCCGTACTGCAGCTCGGTCCTCAAGCTTCACTGATAAAAGTCCCCGGGGTGGCCGATGGCGTGGACGAACAGATTCTGGGACTCCACAAATTGAGGAGGTCTGGGGAAGGGCTCTGGAATCTGTATTTTCAACAATCGCCCCCTGACAAATAACGCATAGCTCCCCGCGATCGCAGCCAGAAGGTGAGCAAGTCACGGCCCCCCTGGGAACTAAAGCGAATTGTGGTAAGCTTAGAAGACCTCAGTCGAGAGAGTATTCCAAACGGGGACTCCTTGCACACATCGATGGCACTGGAGAATGGTATCTGATTCTGTTTTAATTCTGGGCGGTTAGCAGCCTTTGTCGTCTTTCTACCCATTAAATGAAATTTATATGCTTATCACCTGGGGGAATTTGTTAAACTTTGATTCTTGGGTCAACTGTATTGAATCAGAAAGTCTGGGGATGTAGGCTAAACAGGCTGTAAAATGAGCTTGTCACCCTTGGAGAACTTGATATGTGATGCTTGCTTAGACCCAGAGAGAAATGGATCCTAGGTTTCGACCTTGAGACCTCAATCTTCCTTGTTTTTGTTTTTTGTAGCTGGGCTTGCTACGATTCTCATTGTGAGCTAAATTCTTCTTGGTACACATGTCAGATAAGTGCTACCAGCCATTACCAGGTAAACTTTCAGTTAGCTGAAGACTGGAACTTAATAAAATTCAAATGTTAATCTACCTACCTATTGATGTCTGAGTGACCTTGGGTGAGTCGTCAGACGTTCTTGTCCCTCATATTACCCCTCCTGCACTGCCTGTTATAAAGACAGTACCTATATCCATCCTAAATCAGACCTTATGGAGGTGGGCCAGGAGTGTTTCTAGCAAACTCCCAGCGAAGTGTGTTGCAGCTAGCGGTGATGGAAATGTGTTTAGAAACAGAGTCGAAACCTAATTTTCATTGTCCGTATAGGTGAAAATGGGAGTGCAAGAATTTTCATATCTTTTTCTCTTATGGACAAAAAAAGGGTCATGTGGTTTATGACATGTCCTGGTATTAGAGTTTCTTAACATGCACTTGTGGAAGAAGGGTGCAAGGGTAGTTTCAAAAGGTCATGGGAGGTGGAATTAAAGTATCAGTTTATATTGGTGCCCAAACGTGAAGTCTATGCACTGTTTTGTCATAACATGCACTTTCTATGAACTTTGGAAGACCTTTCATATTATGGTAAGATCACAAAAGAGAAACATTGCAGCCCCAAGTAACTTAGTGGACTGCTTGACTTTCTGTCTGATGTTGGAATAACAGAAATTGATTTGCTATAGAGGCTCTGATTGCTAACGAGTCAGCTCTTTTGCCTGAAAGGATATTTACCCCTTAGTCCCTTTAATAGCCCAAGCTCTCACAATCCTAACTAAAAGCACTTTTTCTTTTTTTTTTTTTAATACAAGATGCCGTGGTGAACAGGAACAAAATCTTCTGAAAGCTCAGAGCAGAAGTCTTTTTTAGTCAACATGGAGAACAAACGACGTCAAGCCCGAGTACAAGGAGCCTGGGCAGCCCCTAAGAGCCAGGCCATTGCTCAGCCAGGCAAGAACCTGCCGGGGTCGTGCATGCATGTGCTTTTAATTCTATCCTTTTGGCTTATAATGGAATCCCATTTCAATCGACTTTATGGAACTGCTTAAACATGGCTGTTATTTTGTCTGATTTTTGCTGGTGGTAAATAATTAGTGGGTCTGTAGTGTTCCTCATATACCCTCAAAGTGAGGCAGCCAGATCCCACGTGACTAACCCCACGATTCAGCCCATTGACTTGAGAAACATGCCGAGTGTGTGTGCATGTGTGTCCCAAATCCAGACAGAATGGAGAAATGGAGAAGGCATTTCTGCATGGCTCTTTCC